ACGGCAACAACGACGACAGCAACAACAACAACGACAGTAGCAACAACAACGACAACGACGACAGCAACAACAACTATAGCAACAGTAGCAACAACAACGACGAAGACAGCAACGACAACAATTAACAACGATAGTAGCAACAACAACGACAACAGAAACAACACGAACATTATTTGCACTCTCAGTGTAATTACAGCAAATAATAAAAATAATTTTAAATATATAAAAGATTTCACACATTTCGATCATCGTTCTAAGCTATTATAGTGAGCCGAAACTTCATGTTTTTACCAAATCTATTAGGCGTTTTATCGGTAATCTTACATTCAATATATGAAAAGAATATTGCAAAAATAGAGCACAGCTATCTAAGATAGGCGTTTCCCCAACAAAGTCAAATTTAAGGGATGCAGAGTGATTTATTATTCACTAATAGGACAAAAACATACCCAGTTCACACTTACTAAAAATATTTTCCTTGTCTGTGTCTCGTGTAAAATAATAACGTTAAACAGATTTTGAAAAAGAGATGGATGAAATATTGGAGGCTGGAGATTTGGATGACATCAACGAATGGATTACCCCGGAGAAACTTACTAAGTGTGCCACGAACTGCCTTGAAAAGTCTCTAGAGGTACGTTTTAGTCATGAATTGGATTTGCTTAACGCTTATTTGACCCCGTTGAGCTGCGCCACTGCAGTACTTAAGGTCGTGATTAGCGATAATAATTTTATAACTAAGAAACAATTTTTCTGCTTGTGCGTATACCTACCTTTTAATTGGGCCTATCGAAAGTGTTCCACAAGGCTCGGCCTTTGGAACTTTTTTATTGAGTGGTGTGCGCTTCACTCCATGTGTTCGACGAAAAAACAGTGCTCAGTTTTTGACCTTTTTTTCTCAAATCAAGTTACTAAAAGTGGGAAATACCCGTACCACTATTAATTTCTCTTTTTCATTGTTTTATTCGGTCTGGCAGAACGATGATAATCTAACTTTAATGACTTTATAAAGGTGTTCCCCAGTGCTCAGTTTTGGGACCTTTTTTCAAAATACGTTCTGTTTTGAAGCTGTAAAATATTCATTTACGACTATCTATCCTTTTATTGTTTAAATGGGCTAGACGATAAACTTGTATTAATGAATTTCAGGAGGTGTTCCTCAGAGCTCAGCTTTAGGGCTTTTTTCTACGTAGGCATTTTTCAGCTTTTTAATATATTTTTCTTTTTTTAACATTTAGCGATCGATTTTTTCATTGATTTACTCGACTAGTAGATACGACAAAAAATTCTGGTCAATAATCATGAATTTCCGTTGTTTTGAACTGATCCATTTAAGGTCAGCCACACGTTGAAGAGTCTAGCTGAAGCTAAAGGTCCAGATGCAGATGATCTATGCGCACTTGGAACATCAGTCGAAGAATTTGCTGTTCAACTGCTTGAGCCTCTCAAAAGCGATGACTTAAAGAGGGCTATATTTAAAGGAGAAGACTTTGATCGTGTCGCAGATAAAGCTGTGAAATATCGACAGAAAAAGGTATTAGTGCAGTTTTCGTATGACTGTGAAAAGTTCATGACACGATCACGATCAAGGGATACGCCAGACAAATCACATTGCACGAGAATGTACTCTTCATCCAATCTAATACCCAAAACACGGCGCGGACACGGTCACGCCAAGATCACGGCACTTTTAGACCAATCATATTGCGCGTGAAAAAAATCAGCCAATTAAAATTCTAGRAAKTATCACGGTCACGGCACGTCACGCTTACGGCACTGAGCTTTTCACAGTCATACGAAAACTGCACTACCACCAAGGGATTAGGATTCAATAGGTCCCTGTTTTATTTGACTTTACCTTGTTTCTCTTCTCTTATTCTATCCCATCTTATACCACTCCATTCAATCCCACCTAATCCCTTCTTATTCTTACCCATCCCTTCCTATACTATCCCACCCAATACCAGTCCATTCCTTCCTATCCTATTCCACCACATTCTTTTCTATCCTATACCGGCATCCCGTCACATTCTATCCTTTTCCTCCTACCCCATCCCATTTTACATATCTTATTGCATCCCATCCCATTGTATCCTTTTTCATCCTCTCCCATCCTCAGTCCATCCCATCCTTTTTCGTCAAATCGTACCCGCATCCTATTCTATTCCAATCCATCCTATAGTTTGCTATATAAAACTCATCGTATTCTGTTCTCTTCTAGCATACTCTTCTTATTATTATCATTATTTAACATTTTACTTGCTTTTTGTCATTTTTTAGTTCGTCTCACATCCCGTAGTCTACAATTTTCTGACGAGACAACGATGGACAGGTTACTTTGACCAAATGAGATACAGCAAAATCTGGTTCAAGTGGTTTTTACTTAACTTGTGGGTTTTCTTCGATGTGTTCCTTTTTCCTGTGGTCCATGCTTTGCTGTGGGTGATACATTTGATCATCGAATATGCCAAGAAAAGACAAGGTTAGAGAAAGTGTACAAGAGTAGACCCCGAAAAAGCGTCGGTATTCGGTTTCCCATCATGCTTCGTGCTAGAGATTCGTTCTCGTGCACATTGGCTATTGTGGTCCTTATTTTGGACTCACTTCTTTGACCATGTCTCCAAAATTCTCATAAGCAATTTTTTCGTACTTTAATTTGTAGAAATTCGCGTTGTTTTCCTGTTCAACGCATCGTGGAAATACGCAGATAGACAGTTCCGCGCAATGCAAAGTACTGCAAGATACATCATGCAGCAAACTAGAAAATCTGATAAAACTCAGTATGCTACGGTAACACGTGACTATGATGGACCAATAGTAAAGGAGTTTACCAGTTCTGAAGAAGCCATAGGAAACATGCCTAAGGCTAAGGACGTGAAACATCCCACACGTGAAGTTAACAAAAACAAGGATGTAAAAGACGACGTCGGGTTCTTAGACTGCTTGAAGGAGGCAAACGATCTTTTCGAAAAAACTGAAGAGAGCAAGAAGGTATGTCTACAAGTAAAGCTATATCATTCGAGTGACTGATTCAGGGGGTGGAGGATCTGAGGGTGAGACGATAAGGGTGGTGGGGTAGGGCTTTATTAGGATTGGACTCTCCTGTGCTTTCGCCTTCGCAAGGATACTTTTCAACTGTGGTTTCTAATATTATATGACGATGAAATTACAAAGTAATAACAAATGGTGAGAAAAAACACGGTTCCAGCGAATGACGGTAAAAAGATTTAAAATAAGGAGGAATGAAACATTTTACATGCAATTGTGCTCGACAGTAGAGAAAAACGTTCGCGCATGCGTGCATTTTAGCACCTTTTCTAAGAATTTTGTAGAGTTTTAGCGAGAAAATAAATGTTTGTTTTCTCCAAGTATCCAAAAAAGTTCGAGAGTATTCTTTTGTCAGACAAAGATACTGTATTAACAAACACAATATGAAAGAATTGGCCTTAAGTTTCAAGCATGGATCGGACACTAAGGTTTGGCATTTTGTGAAGTGCAATTTATCAGGCATGTTTGAAAGTCAAACTTACTTATGCTTTGACTAATTTGCGTACAGATTCAGAGCATGCGCAGACGTTTTTCACTCTTGTCACTGTGCTCTTTACTATGCCGACAGTGTGTGAAGAGAACCAGCAAGCAACGAAGCCTAGATATCGGACGAAAACAAAAATTTAGATGCTAACAACAACTATGGAAACAAACATAAACTAAAGAATGTGATTGGCTGAAGTCAATATGATACTGATTTTACTCTCTCCTGATTGGCTAGTTTGTTTTACCTTAAATTTTGTTCAAGTGGTCCCGATTAGTGCGTCCGCACAGTAAACGGCAAATTTACATGGCTTGTAACACAAGTCCTAGTTGCAAGATTGCACCATCTTTTCCCGGCAAGGAAATTTTTTTAAACATTRAAAAGAATTTTCCCACATCCTCGTTGCACAGATATCTTCAACTAAAGTTGCTTAACATTTATGAGAACCTGTGTTATATCATTTTAACTTAAGGTGCTTGTCGTTATGACGGACGATAAACTTGGCACTCCGAACAACGAGCCTCTGAGAGCTGTGGAATCCATAAAACAGCAGAACATCAAAGTGATTTCTGTCGGCCTTGGTGTACATCCTGAAATCAAGGAGTTGGAAACCATGGGAACGAGTGGCGAAAATGTCTTTTTGATGTTCAGTGATAACAGCGACATGGATGAGACAAAGAAGTTCAACATTCTCGAAAGTGAGTTTAATATTACCATCTATAGTGCAGTAGCCTCACGCCGGGATTTCGGGTTCCATACTCCAGTTTCGAGTTCTCTGTTGCTCAGGGTTAGCCCCGATTTTGTGCAGAACATTCATGTGTTCCAGTGAAGGTCCGTGGAGTTTCAAAGTGTTTGTATTGTTGAAGTTGTGCATTTTTTACTTTACCGTTGGTATTTGTGAATATTGAGACACAGATACGAGGCTAAGCCTGAGTAAATGAGTCTGTGATCAAGAAACACAGCGGTAACTTGGAACTCGAAAAAGTTCTATTACTCAGTATCACGCTTGAGTAGAGTTTGTTGATAGGATGCTTTACAGGTTCTCTGATTTTCTTCCATTATTATTATCATTATCCAACGCCTACATAAGGACTAGTTTCCAGAATCTAATTATTTACCTGTAAATAAATTGAAGTCAATTTTTTTTTTTTTGCAATGTAAATAGGCATCAAGGGAAAAGATATCTATGGTGAGTTTACGTATGTTTAAGCGTCCTTTGATGTGACGTGTTCTTGTACATATTTAGAACTGATTAACGTCATAAYCGGCCTCGTACACTATTTACCAATTAAAGAGATTTTACATCAAGACGCGAAAGGCAAACACGACGGCGCAAGYGCATTTKTTTTCGTGCGTTCGCAGTCTCTAATGTGGTTCACGTCGTTGACACCCTCGACAGGACCTGGGACGCCATTTGCAGCACTTTTACGTCCTGTCGAGAAAGTCAACTACGTTGAGGACAACCGCGCACGAAAAAAATGCGCTCACACAGTGGTCTTTGACGTTCGCGTCTTGATGCTAAATCTTTTTAACATGTCCACCAAAACAACCTCCACTATCTAGTACCATCTCTGTTATCTCAACCAACAACTCCATCACCAACACCATCAACAACAACACCACTACCACCAAATGCACCATCTAGTACCACCTC